GTGGTGGCTACATGACTCAGAAGAGTGGTGGCTACATGACTCAGAAGAGTGGTGGCTACATGACTCAGAAGAGTGGTGGCTACATGACTCAGAAGAGTGGTGGCTACATGACTCAGAAGAGTGGTGGCTACATGACTCAGAAGAGTGGTGGCTACATGACTCAGAAGAGTGGTGGCTACATGACTCAGAAGAGAGCCCTCTTGCAAGAAATCATGTGACCGTGCACGCCTAATAAAGCTATGAAATAGTCAAACAAGGTATGTTGAAGTTTGAATCAAAAGATAGGACAATAAGATGTGAACGTTTCGGCTTAGAGCCTGCTTCAGCAAACAGGACAAATAGGAGTACGACACGAAACAGAACACAGTAAAAAAAACCACGTTAGAGATCTCCTTTGTTGTTTTACTAGTTCATTCACATAGCGTGAATAAAGCTCTTCAATTATTATCTAATAAAGCTAACTCGAGGAATCACGCTACAATGCAGTCAATGTTTGACTCGAATCAAATAATACGCTAAAGTTTTTTTTTTGTCCTCCCAAGAGATATTACGGGGAAAACCCCCCAAGACAAACATATCTTAAGTAAGTTGTATGCGTGTGTGAGTGTTATCCCTGCTTTTCGGTTATACCGACAGATGGAATGGTCTCTTCACAAATACAACCATGACAAGGTCTAAGTAAAGAAAGTTAAAAAGAAAGAGAAGAAATAAAGAAAAAAGAAAAATTTTTAAAGTTATGAAGGTATTTTCAAAACCTTCTGGAAAATAACACAAATTAATTTGTGTAGCATAGAAAATTCAGTAAATATTATCCCATGATACCTACCTGACTGGCGCATACAACCATTTTTTAAATCACTGAAAAAATCTACAAGCTACATTCAGTTTTCTTTTCATAATATACATATCTGCAATCCACTATGGTCACATTATGAGGTAAGAAAACATAAAATACCAATGAAACCCAGCGCACGTTGATTAACTATGAAACTGACTTAAATTTAAAAAAAAACAACAAATAATAATAAAAGAAGAAGAACGTGGTTGAAAACTTTGAGATCGACTAGAGAGGATTTTTAAGACGTCATGCACCTCATTGTATTATTAATTTTGTCCACGTCTGAAACTTTAAAAGTAGTTTGAGGCAGGAGAAATGAAAATCTGGAGTTATTTAACTATAATATACAGACACTGTAAAATGAGGCTTAAGAAGTAGTAGAGTGCGCCTACACGTTATTGCAATGAGGACCAAAAAAAAAGATAACTTGAATACTTACGTCAATGAGATAAAAGGTACTCAAATATAATCAATTTTAAGATGAACGATAATTGGCGTGGTGATTTTAAAAAAATAAATAAATTTTTTACTAGATTAAACATTCACAAAGAATAATTTTTGTTTTATGATATTGAATAATAAATAACTAAATCTCCGAAAAGAATAATGTACTGCCCACACCTTAACATCCAACCGAGCTAAATCATACTAAATGTGTTCATTAAGAATAAAATGTTTAAAAAATCGAATGTCCCTATCTAGCTCATAAAGGTAGGATATGTTGTAGGCTCCTTCACTATACTCAACTGCTGAAATAAAACATTACAATGATAAAAAAAAAATTTCTCCACCTTACCAGTGATACACCATTTTTTGTAATGAAGACTAACATTAAGATCGATATCACAATCAATTGCCTTCATGAGTTAACACTGTCTACGCCTCAGGGATAAGGGAGCAAAGCCATAAAAACAATCAAGCTGAAATAAACGAAGGTTTGGTAGTCATTAATTGTTGTAGAGTAGCGTCCCTGCAGACCTGCACCTGATTGGTTAATTTCATGACAAACTTATTGAATGGTGGACGTACATTAGCATAGTCCAGAGGCGTCGCAAGGGATTGTGTCTCCTGGAGCAGTAACATTATAGTGTCTCTCCCCCCCCCCCCGGTAACTGCATGGATTTATTTATAACCAGATCAAAGAGAAACATTAAACTTTACAGTAAAATCTTAACATCTCTATTCTTCATAACTGCAAACCTGTCAATCACTTCATCAAAGTTCCCATTCTTCGTCTAATCACTTTCAATTGACGACATCTCAAATCCCAGAATGCCCGAACTGTTCCATGGCAGATCCCGAACATTTCTTGATACGTTTTAGTTTTAAAAAGCTCATCTCAAATAAAGCTTCAGTCACAGAAATCGTGAGAAATACTTGTAGCTGTAGGCTTAACTGTGACGGGAAGAGATTCAAGGAAGTCCCATTCAGATATGAATGGCACAACTACCCATCTGTAGCTTCCTCGACATCACTATGTCTTGCTTTCAGGTGCCTTCTGAGCAGCCTTGGTATTCTAATTAGAGGATAACTTTCAAAGCAGTTCAAAGATCATTGTCAGGTGTATACAGTTTACATAAGTTATGAAACCGTTTGGAGCGGGACCTGTCAAAAAGCAATTTTTAAATTTTTGAGTCCCCTCCCTGCACACACCCGTGAGATTGTGGCATGGTGCACCCTTCAACATCGCACCCATCACCTTCGCGCCCCTCACCCTCGCGCCCCTCACCCCCTCACCCACACACACCCTCGCACCCCCTCACCATCGCACCCTTCATACCCACACACCCCTCACTATCGCACCCTCATCCTCACACCCCATCATACCCACACCTCCTTCACTATGGCACCCCCTCACCTCTCTTACCATCGCATTCTAATGACGCCACTAACATAGATTTTATCTTCTTATTTTACAGCTCTTTCCAAATGAGTAAATCTGGTCGGAGGTGGACGTCAATAGCAACACGCGTGTGGGCCACACCGGTGGTTAGGTCGCATCCGTAGTTTGGGGTTGTCAAAGTGGGTATTAGAGGTTGACACACAGCTAGGTAGTACCACTAGCTTAGTGAGTCACCTTTTAAACACACACACACACACATATATATATNATATATACATATATATCACACTGGCATATCGGACACATAAGTACATGATTGTGCACATAGGGTATACCAGGCACACCGGGCACATCTCTACACAGCCAGATGCATCGCTGCAAAAAGCTCTTATTTCCCTTGACGTATATAATCGAAATGCAATTTATTTTCAAAACCTTAGAATTAATATAGATATTATATTCTTTAGGAATTTTAAGTTTTTAATTGTTTAAAAAAAAAGAAGTTGCAATTTAAAGATCTTGCAAGTTTTCCAGACATGAAAATGATTAGACCTTACCTTCACAGTTCCTTCTTTATATTTAACTATATTGGTTCTAATTACGTCATCTAAGAATTTCTGTAACATTTTTTTCAGCAATCTCCAATTGACTAAATGGGGGAACCTTGATGGTATGATCATTGCTACAAGATAAATAAATATGTGTCAACACTATTCCAATTATTCGACTTGTACTTTTGCTAAGGATAGATCTTTTTAATAGTTCCTTCAACAACGTTTCTTCTTCTTCTTATGCCTTTTTGACCCATCTGGGGCATAGGCCGTCCACAAGAATTTTACATTCATCACGTTCTTGTGCTTCCAGGTGTTTCCCATATTTTGCGTATCAGCCTCTTGCTCTTGTCTCCATATATTCTTATGTTTTACGCTCTCTCTTTTGTCCATGTGGATTCGATGTTAGGGAATGTCTGGTAATGCTATCTGGGTTTGTTGTGTGGAGAGTATGCCCTATCCACCTTCATCTTTTCTTTATGATGTCATCATCAATGGCCACCTGGTAGGTCCTTTCTAGTAGCTTTGCTGATGATGGTATTAGGCCATTTGATGTTCAGGATCTTTCTAAGGCATGCGTTTATGAAGGTCTGTACTTTCTGCGTAATGCTCGCTGTGGTTTTCCAAGTTCTGCTCCATATAGTAGAACTGTTTTGACATTTGTGTTAACGATTCTGACTTTAGTTGCACCTTCATCTGCTTCGACTCCCATCTTTTCTTTAATAGCACAAATGCTGATCTAGCTTTTCCGATTCTAGCCCTAACATCCGCGTCAATGGTGCTGCCTAAGTATGTGAAGGACTCCACTTCTTCCAGTGCTTTTCCTGCCAGAGAGATGCTCTTGGTTGGCTGAGTTTACCTTCATGATCTTCATCAACAACATTTACAGATCTGATTATAAAGACAGCGCCCTTTATCACACTGGCAGAATTAATTCTCTTTTATGGGTCGTAAGGAAATTTTGTTTTAAAAGAATGATTTATTTAAGGGCTAGTTTGTAATAACCCTCAGTGCGTTTAGAATGTATACTGTAGGAAAGTCACGCAATACATGTCAAAATCCTATCGGCCACTACCAGGGCCGGAGATAGGCTTGCAGGTGCCCTATTTGTGTATAGGTTATAACCTACACACAAATCAAGAGGGCCCCCCCCTCCCTTACCGTTTTAAATTACATCAGTTGGCAGGTTTTTAGGTCCTAAGCTGTAGCTTAATTTAGTTTATAGGTCAATTCGGCATTGGTCACAACCACAGCCACCACTGTTATTTTAGGCAGCTCAATATATGAAAACGTTTGTCGTTTCATTAAAGCAGATTTCCCCATCAAATCCCATTGGTGTATGTGTAGCCAGGTATGCATGAATTACCAGTTGCATACATGAATAATTCACATCACTGGTCAGTACGCGTGACACCGAGTGCCTGTGATTTGTTGGATTAGATCACGGAAGATTTGGAAATTGTGTTCAAAGTTTGCACAGTTGGATTTTAAGGTTGATAATTTTTTTTCCTGGATAATTTGTAAATTCTTTTATATTATTAACGGTAATTTTGATATAAGTTTTTTCTACCAGAAATTGTAAACAAAAAGATCATCTAAAGATGATACTTTTTAGATAATAAATTTTATTACCTATAACCGCAAACTATTTATATATGTGTGTACATTTATATATATTTTTTTTACAAAATTGCGTCAATAAAAAGTCTATATTAATTTAAAATACTTAATATACCAGAGATTTGTTATAATTTATTAAATCAAACATCGCTAAATGATGTTTCCATGACGACGCTAATCATCTTTGCATTGTCCCGTGAGCTGTTCAAGAAATTTTATACAAAAATTAAAAAAAAAAAAAATGACGCAGTGGTTTAATTTATAGTATGACAATGAATTATTTATGGTATACATTCTTTAGTTTTAAATAAACACTACATTGTAAAGGAAACGTCGATTTAAAAAAAAAAAAGCTTTTTTCCCCCTAGAAGCAGACCATGAACTACGCAGATATTCAACCGGCTCCCATGGCCGTGTACTGTAGGGGTCTGACCAAATCTCTTGGCAGTGGCAAGTCTAAGATAGACGTGCTGTGTGGTCTGAATATGTCTGTACCACAGGGTGCTATGTAAGTACAATGGAAGTGATGTGTCGTTGGAATATGCCTGTACCACAGGGTGCTATGTAAGTACAATGGAAGCGATGTGTGGTTGGAATATGTCTCTACCACGGGTGCTATGTAAGTACAACAGAAGTTTTGTGTGGTTGGAATAAGTCTGTACCACAGAGTGCTATGTGAGTACAACACACGTGCTGTGTGGTTGTAATATGTCTGTACCACGGGTGATATGTAAGTACAACAGAAATGCTGTCTGGTTGGAATATGTCTGTACGACAAGGTGCTATGTAAGTATATCAGATATTTGTGTGGTTTTTAAATGTTTCAGGTGTACATGGTAGAACAACAGCTTCTGAGATAGCAACTTTTATTTCATTTTCAAACTCCTAAGTAATCTGTTCTAGCATAGCTAAATGCTAAGGCACCTACCACCACTCCAGTTTCTAAATCCTAACGTGGCCAGCATATCGGTTGCTAAATGCTATAGCAACTTCTATTTCAGATACGGCCTTCTAGGAGCAAGTGGTTGTGGAAAGACAACTCTGTTGAAATGCGTCATTGGAAGAATGCAGCTGGACGGGGGTCATCTGCGTACATTGGGCAAAGTTCCTGGGTCAAGGAGTCATGAAGTTCCCGGTAAAATGGTCGGATACATGCCTCAGGTAATTTACCATTATTCTTATACATCAATTTCACATTCAATAACAAAATAAATCTTTGGAAAGTTTCTGGAGAAAGTCAATTTTAAAAGACTAAATAAGGCGAAACATTTCTTGAAACCAGTATCATGTTTTATGGGGTCATTTGGTCTTTGTAATCCTTTGCCGCGGCTAGACTTTGAGCCACCCATTGTCCAGTGTCGCGGCTAGACTTTGAGCCACCCATTGTCCAGTGCCGCGGCTAGACTTTGAGCCACCCATTGTCCAGTGCCGCGGCTAGACTTTGAGCCACCCATTGTCCAGTGCCGCGGCTAGACTTTGAGCCACCCATTGTCCAGTGCCGCGGCTAGACTTTGAGCCACCCATTGTCCAGTGCCGCGGCTAGACTTTGAGCCACCCATTGTCCAGTGTCGCGGCTAGACTTTGAGCCACCCATTGTCCGGTGCCGCTGCTAGACTTTGAGCCAACCATTGTCCTGAGCCGCTGCTAGACTTTGAGCCAGCCATTGTTCTGTGCTGCATTGAAGATTTTAATTCCTAACTAGAATTTACGATATTGAAATAATTTAAAAAAAATTAAAACAAAAAAAAACCAACAAATAATTTACACGTTTAAATTGTAAATCAATTACATTCTCTTCACAGGAGATTTCTTTGTTCAAAAAGTTAACAATCAGAGAGACTTTGACCTTGTTCGGCCGACTTCACGGCATGACCAAGAAGGACATCCAAAAAGGAATCGACTTCTCGCTAGGGTTTCTCAACCTTCCAGATGACGGGCGATTGGTCGAGAATTTGAGGTCTGTTCAACGTACAGTTTTGGGACCACTCTTATGGTCCGCTACTTGAAAATAATAATTCAAACAAACAAAATAAACATAGCTTTCAAAAGAGATAAAACAATAAAACAATTAAATTATATGGCTATTGTTTTTTTTGTTTTTTAAGTTGTTTTACAGAATGTATGACAAGCTTTCAAAGCTGTAGAACAAACTTAAACAAAAAATCACAAAAACCCTTTTAGAAATTGCACAGTTAGCGAAATTTGATGATGGGGGGTGTACGTGAACGGATGTGGGTGGTTGGATTTTAAACAAACCTAAAACTAGTCTTGCACTTGTCCGTCAGCGGAGGTCAGCAGAGACGAGTGTCCTTGGCGGCAGCTCTACTCCATCAACCGGAGCTTTTGATCTTGGACGAGCCAACAGTGGGGGTGGACCCAGTGCTGAGAGAAAAGTGAGTACATAGAGAGCTGGATCAAGTGCTGAGAGTAAAATGAGTATAGAGCTGGTGATAGCGTGTAAGGCATGCGATGAACAAACAGCGGGGAGACCGGGCTTACATCAAAGTGGTTGACCTCTCCTCAGCAATTAGTGGGAGATAGGTCCCACTAGCACAATGGCGTAGCTAGTATTAATGTCACCCAGGGATGGCCAAGATTTTCAAGAAAAAATGTGCAGTCGGCCAACCATTGCTCCCATTAATATAAGAAAAAAAGTGCTGCCGGTGGTAGACCGCCCTCTCCCCACCCCTGCCTACGTCATTGCACCAGCAGTTGTGTAGACTGGTCAATGCTGTTATTTAGAGGAGACGTCTATTATATTAATAAATAAAGAGCCACGGGTGTGGTGTAGGACTGTCTGCAGGACTGTCTCTAGGGCTTCCTGTATGACTTTTTTGAAAGTCTGGCATGTATTATAGAAAATGGGAAGTTAACCCCTTTTTTTAATAACACTCGGACCCACCGGGTATTTTCTCCAGAAATACCCGGTGTTAACATAGTGCACCCGGTTAAGCACCAGTATTAATTATTAGCTTTTGTGGTGTTGAAAAATTAAAAGTTCACATAATCCATCATATCATGACGGCTTAATGGGTGTTGTGTTAAAGCGTTAACAATAGTATCTTTGTCTTATCGAAATCAAGTGCTTTCTTTGATAGCCTACATGAAACCTCACCATTGGTAAACAAAAAAAAAACCCACTTTTTTTTTAAATAGAATCTGGGAGCACCTATTTGAAATAGCTAAGAGCAGATTGAAAACCACCATCATTGTCACAACACATTACATTGAGGAGGCAGCCCAAGCAAATAAGGTGACATTAGTACATCATTTTCTCAATACTTTATACAAAGTTGTAGGTTTCATAATTAGCGTTGATAATTAGACATACAATTATACTATGATAATTAGACATGCAATTATACTTTGATAATTTGACATAAAAATATAATTTGATAATTTATCATGCAATTATATTTTGATAATTTGACATACAATTATACTCTGATAATTTGACATACAATTGTACTCTGATAATTTGACACACAATTAAATTTGATTTGACATACAATAAAATCTTTGATAATTTGACACAAAATCATACTTTGATAGCGTATTACACATTCCTTGCTTGATCATTGTTAAAACTTCGCATGAAAGGACTTGATTCTTAAATCCTGTCCTTCTAACCATGGGGTGTCGGCTGTTTCATAACACAGTCTGGCTTTGGAATGTATAACGCTTGTAAATGCCCCCAATCTTCCATGACTCCGTGCAGGTCGGACTCATGAGAGGAGGACGACTTTTAGCAGAGAACAACCCCACAACTCTGATGGCCAAATACAGCTTACAGGTAATCTTTTAATCTATCGTTCTATCCCTTAACTAAAGACATTTCCTCTTTCTGGAGAAATGCCATGGTTCTTTTCCAAACACTCGGTTGACATATAAGTTCAGAAGTAAAACAGATACTATTTTTATGTTTCTTCAAAGTTTTTATATTATACATGCAGCTCGCTTCCTAGGTTCCAAATCAATCTTATAATTTCTAGCTCGAGGCTATTAGTTCAAAATTACAGACTATTTGAGTACATTGGTCCATATGCTAAATGATTGGTCTATATGCTAAATGATTGGTCTATATGTTAATGATTGGTCTATATGATGAATGATTGGTCAATATGTTAATGATTGGTCTATATGTTAAATGATTGGTGTAGAAGCTAAATTATTAAACTATATGCTAAATGATTGGTCGATATGCTGAATGCTTGTTCTATATGCTAAATGGTTGGTGTACACTGAAAAAAAACCACAAACAAATATCACTCACAAAAAAGACACTACTGTACTTCTAACACCCCCCTCCCCAAAATTAGACACACCATTAATCCAAAGCAACTAGTCACGAATGTACTTCACCACAAAATGACAAGTCATTTAGCCAAAGTTACCAGTCACTGATGGTATTCACATCCAAATATAAGCCATTAATGAAAAGCTACTATTCACCAAGTCCATTCACCTTTCAATGATAAGTCATTAATACAAAGTTACGATTCAGTAAAGCCATTCACCTCCAATGGTAAGCCATTTATGCAAAGTTACGATTCACTAATGCCATTCACCTCCAATGATAAGCCATTACTACAAAGCTCCTATTCACCAATGCCATTCACCTCCAATGATAAGTCATTACTACAAACCTCCTATTCACCCATGCCATTCACCTACCAATGATAAGCCATTAATACAAAAGCTCCTATTCACCCATGCCATTCACCTACCAATGATAAGCCATTAATACAAAAGCTCCTATTCACCCATGCCATTCACCTACCAATGATAAGCCATTAATACAAAAGCTCCTATTCACCAATGCCATTCACCTACCAATGATAACGCGTCCCTATAAACTTACCTAAGACTCCCCTTGATGCTCAGACCCTTGAAGGTGTGTTCCTGTACCTGTGCCACCGTGACCGCCTGCCCAACAACGATGACAGTGAGCTCCTGCCGTCTGTCTCTGAGCCGTACCGGTACGACGAGGTCAGTACGGTCCCAGGGTGAGGGTTTTGTTAGTCGTGTATTCGCATTGTTGGGGGTTGTTAGTAATTTGCTTCAGTGTTGGGATTTGTTAGATACTGGGTGTATATTGGGTGAATATTGGGTTAATATTGGGTGAATATTGGGTGAATATTGGGTGAATATTGGGTGAATATTGGGTGAATATTGGGTGAACATTGGGTGAATATTGGGTGAATATTGGGTGAATATTGGGTGAATATTGGGTGAATATTGGGTGAACATTGGGTGAAAACCAGGAGCCAGAATGATCAACAAATTGATCGTTGGCCCCTCAAATATAAGAAGCAGTAAGAAGATGATATTTCCTTAAGATTTGGGTTTTGTTAGTAATTTGCTTGATTCACTGCGTTTTGTTAATAAATTGCTTTATTTTGGGGTTTTGTTTAGTAATTTTAGGTTTTCTTAGTAATTTGCTTTACTGTTGGGGTTTGTTAGTAATTATGACTTAGGTTTAAATTTGTTAGTAATTTGCTTGATTTATGGGTTTTGTTAGTAAAGTGCTTAATTTTGGGGTTTTGTTATTAATTTGTTTTTTAGTTTTTTGTTTTTTTACAATGTGATTTAGTGTTGTTCATGATGGTAGTCTTAGGATTCTTAAGATGCTATGACCATCAAATTTGTCATTTTCGTAAATATGTTGCTATTTTTACCGTTGTCAGTGTTCTAAATGCTGTTAGTGATGTCTGTGTTGATAATTTTATAAACGTTGGTGTTTTTTGTGTTGATAGTCTCATAATGGAAGTGCTATTAATATTGTTAACGTCAATTGGCGCTGTATTTACATAAATATATTTATTAGTTAGTGATAACTTTAACAACCGACGTTTGCCATTGAAAGTGCTGTTGATCCACCAGGAGGCCGAGGCAGTGTACAGACCTTACCAAAATGAAGATAAAGTCAGCCTATTTAGTACAAGGATGAAAACTTCCTACGGTACATCGAACTCAGACGGTAAGACCCTAAATCACATGTCTGAAGTTTACAGTAATATCCCATATCACGTCTCTGAAGTTGACAGTAATATCCCATATCACGTCTCTGAAGTTGACAGTAATATCCTAAATCACGTCTCTGAAGTTGACAGTAATATCCCATATCACGTCTCTGAAGTTGAGAGTAATATCCTAAATCACGTCTCTGAAGTTGACAGTAATATCCCATATCACGTCTCTGAAGTTGACAGTAATATCCCAAATCACGTCTCTGAAGTTGACAGTAATATCCCATATCATGTCTCTGAAGTTGACAGTTTACTATAATACCCAAAAGCACGTCTCTGAAGTCTTCCAATTCTAAAGTATATTAAAAAGATATTTGAGATTTGTATAGCCTTATATGTATTGAACGGACCAAGTTTTGACAGCTCAGTATTCTACTTAACACTTTATGCCTGTGGGCCATCATAACTTATGCCTGGGGGCCATCATAACTTATGCCTGTGGGCCATCATAACTTATGCCTGTGCACCATCATAACTTATGCCTGTGGGCCATCATAACTTATGCATGTAGGCTATCGTAACTTATGCATGTGGGCCATCATAACCCTTTCCCTGTGCGCCATCATAACTTATGCCTGTGGACCATCATAACTTAAGCCCGTGGACCATCATAACTTATGCCTGTGAGCCATCATAGCTTATGCCTGTGGACCATGACACTGCCCTGAAAACATATTTGCCCGTACTCAACGAATTATGTTAATAGGGCCTTGTAGACTTATAGTAGACCTAAATCGACGAGGATTCTAGGTACAGCTGTTTGATTTGAAATAAATAAATAAAAGAAGTTTTTAAGTTAATTCATAAATACCATTGAATATAGTAAAAATTAATAAATTGTAAAATGTTAACATTTCAAGAAACTACAGTTGAAAAGTTAAATAGATTTGACGTTGACCAATCTGTTGTCCTTTACGTTCCCTACACAATATTGTTGGCTCCTATCAAGTCCAGAACTGATTGGATATCTCGAATCAAAGAGAACTGATTGGATATCTCGAATCAAAGAGAACTGATTGGATATCTCGAATCAAAGAGAACTGATTGGATATCTCGAATCAAAGAGAACTGATTGGATATCTCGAATCAAAGAGAACTGATTGGATATCTCGAATCAACCATCCCATGAGTTCTTTAAATTCACCTATAGGTTGTATCTGTCACAGATTATGTGCACTATATTTCTCATGTCTATTTCAGGGCGCCAAAAACCGTTTAGAAAACTTACTGCTCCGGGATTGTCCTTACCCAAGTTTTGGAACATCATGGCGTTATGCGCCAAGAACTACACTGTGTTGAAAAGAAACTATGCGTGAGTCAAACATTTAGCAACCAATGTTCAATATATCTTGTATTATTTTAATCCTAGCAGACTGACAGTCTTGGGAGAATCTTATATATATATATATATATATATATATATATATATATATTTATATATATAAAGAAAATTTGCACTAGTGAGCTTCATTAAGGTACTCAGGTTACGAAAGGTGAATAATAAGTCCACCAAGATTGAGACTTATCATAAAATTGTTTCCATTTCTTTGTGACAGTGTTTTGGTGTTCTACTTCCTGGTTCCGGTCATACAGATCGTTCTGTTCTGTGTTTGTATTGGTGGGGATCCTATGGATCTTAACGTCAGCATATGTAATGAAGATGTGGGGGAGATGGGGGATATTTTCCTGAGCTTCCTCAGCAACAAGACTATAAGAAAGGTAAACATCCATGTTGGCTTGCTTAGGGTCATTGGTAACTGATAAATCTGCACGTTGACTTGCAGAGTCATCTATTATTTCAGCAAACGTCAGAGGCAGCTAATGATGTATCGTAGTCTCCCATGTTAGTAAGCTTATAGTTCACTCGCGCCAGGTGATAACAAGTGATTCATATACAAAGACGATAAGCATGTTGACCACACAATTGTGCTTTGGTCTACAGATGTTCCATATGTATTCTCTCATAACCGTTTGGGTAGACCAAGACTAGACTTTTACATAGAATGTAATGAGATCAATGTGGTTGGGTTGGCCAAGACTAGACTGATATATAGAATGTAATGAGATCAAAGTGGTTGGGTTGGCCAAGACTAGACTGATATATAGAATGTAATGAGATCAAAGTGGTTGGGTTGGCCAAGACTAGACTGATATGTAGAATGTAATGAGATCAAAGTGGTTGGGTTGACATGTAATAATTTAACCCTGTTGTACAACGATCGTCATTAATTTAGATGTTGCCAGTTGTCCATACTAGTATCCAGTGTCGTCTTGACGTGGTCAAATTCAAACTGAAAGATTGCAAGTTGTCATCGACGTTTTAGATGGCTATCGGAACCAATAAAATTTGGTTCAAAACTCATAATATGTCCTACTAACCCAATCAATCCACTGTCCAGGTAACTTCGTTCCTTAGCACATTTCATGCACTGTTAAACTAACATTGCCTTTTAACACATCCACACACATATTCAGTTTGGCGTTAACACAATATTAACACAATCATTGTCCAAGTTAACAATGTCTATTGACACAATCATTGTCCGAGTTAACATTGTCTGTTGACACAATCATTGTCCGAGTTAACATTGTCTGTTGACACAATCATTGTCCAAGTTAACACTGTCTATTGACACAATCATTGTCCAAGTTAACATTGTCTATTGACACAATCATTGTCCGAGTTAACATTGCCTGTTGACACAATTATTGTCCAAGTTAACACTGTCTATTGACACAATCATTGTCCAAGTTAACATTGCCTATTGACACAATCAGAGTCCGAGTTAACATTGCCTGTAGACACAATCATTTTCCACGTTAAAATTGTCAATTGACACAATCATTGTCCAGGTCATGCATGATGACTTAGACTCGGCCATTCAGGATGTCAGAATGGGTTGGAGTTGGGCTGCCATGCACTTGGGGAAAAACTTCACCCGTGAATTGATATCTAGGTGAGTGAACTTATGTCTAGGTGAGTGAACTGATATCTAGGTGAGTGAACTGATATCTAGGTGAGTGAACTGATATCTAGGTGAGTGAACTGATATCTAGGTGAGTGAACTGATATCTAAGTGATTGAACTGATATCTAGGTTAGTGAACTGATATCTAGGTGAGTGAACTGATATCTAGGTAAACGAACTGGTATCTAGGTGAGTGAACTGGTATCTGGGTAAGGGAACTGATATCTATAGGTACGTGATCTGAAATCTAGGTGGGTCGTTGTGTTTGCACTTTAAATAAATTTGGTGGTTTTGAGCTAAGTGACCTTTTTTAAAGTTTACAACCAGTCATTTACAGTTGATTTGACCCAGGCATTTACAGTTGATTTGACCCAGGCATTTACAGTTGATTTGACCCAGGCATTTACAGTTGACTTGACCCAGGCATTTACAGTGGATTTGACCCAGGCATTTACAGTTAATTTGACCCAGGCATTTACAGTTAATTTGACCCAGGTATTTACAGTTGATTTGACCCAGGCATTTACAGTTGGAGTGACCCCATGTGTGTCCGTGATACCTAAAGATGAAAAATATCGTGCGTCAGCCAGGAACCGATACCGGATCAACTGCTTGGAGTTTACATCCTTTTAAGCATTTATGACGCCCTATACCACCTATGACGCCCTACATCACATATGACGCCCCACACAACCTATGACGCCCCACACCACCTATGACGCCCCACACAACCTATGACGCCCCACACAACCTATGACGCCCCACACCACCTATGACGCCCCACACAACCTATGACACCCCACACAACCTATGACGCCGCACACAACCTATGACGCCCCATACCACCTATGACGCCCTACATCACATATGACGCCCCACACAACCTATGACGCCCCACACAACCTATGACGCCCCACACAACCTTTGGCCTGAACCGTTTTCCGATGTCTTTATCTCTTCACCGATATATTCATAGTGACTGTTCAAATGATCTAATTTAGAAAAAAAAATAACCACCAGCAAGACATAACATTCGAACTTAAGTTATATACTAAAGTATTTATACCATGCACAATTTATAGCATGAGCGATATATAGGCCTATATTGTACATATATATATATAGTACAAACAATGATCAAAATGTAACGACCAACCATTATATCCCAAAAACACTTGTTTTATATTGGCTGACATTGATTTCATTTTCACTAATGTCCCATACTAATTCATATAATGTATATTAAAATCAGTAGCTATGTATATCCTGTACCATTTATTTTCATATCATTTATATCCTTATATCCTATAAAGATTATTTTATTTATCAGCCATATACTGTACCATTTTATAATGTATCATTTATATCCGATACAATTATATTTATATATCTAATTTGAATATTTATGCATGTGTCAATTCTTTCGATTCATACACGGGTTTCGTTGCGCCTAAATCTGGTACAATCTTGTTTCAGACTGGAAGATGGTATCTCAGCCTCCAATGAGACACTGTTTGGTAGCACAGTCTGGCTTTACCTTGACATGACTAGTAAGCTTAAAACTCAAGTATTGAAATCGCTTAGACATCAAACACGATTTTTAACTTTGGGTAATACTTGTATAGTGAATAAGTGCAAATATTGTCTGACATTCGTCCTCTTTGATACCACGCACCAACCGTAAGATGTGCAACAAATACATTTTTTCCTGGACGATTATTATTAGGCAATGTGACAACCATGAGTTGCGGACCTTGACTAAATGCTGACCGGGCAAACTCCCAAAAGAGCGAAACCCACCCATTACATTTATAATGTTTAATACAAAACAAATATTACGGATGTTATAAAATTATCTTTGAACCAGATCAAGAAATCGCCTACACGCTAGAAGTTCGTATTATCGACAGTTTCAACAAGTTCGCTAGGACATTGTTAGAGTCGCTTGGTCATAACCCGGAACTGAGCAGCATACCTGTTGGGGTGAGTATTGGTTAGCGTTATAGGGTCATTGGTTCGTATGGTGACGACAGAGAACGCTTTGGCCACAGACTGAGGGATGCTATGAAATACAGTCAAGACAAGCAGGCGAATTAACTGATGGATGCTACCAAATACAGTCAAGACAAACAAGCGAATTGACCGATGGATGTTACAACATAAAGTCAAGACAAGAAGGCGAATTGACTGATGGTTGTTACAAAATAAAGTCAAGACAAGCAGGCGAATTGACTGATGGATGCTACAAAATACAGTGAAGACAAGCAGGGGAACTGACCTAGATAAATCTAATGAATATCCAAACTAAGAAATAGATGAATGAGGTAATATGTCTGTAAGCGGAGTGGATGACAGACCTTCGATCAGCTGAATCCATTGATACATTCTTTGCAAGCTACAAAGTGAGTCCAGCTTGAGTCCGGAGAAAATCAAGTCACCGATCTATCCTCCCCCCCCCCCGTAATACTACTATATCCAATGGTAATTCTACAGTAGGCCCAGCTACTGGTAATTCTACTGTAACCCCAGCTACTGGAAATTCTACAGCAGGCCCAATTACTGTTAAACTACTGTAGGCCCAGCTACTGGTAATTCTACAGCAGGCCCAATTACTGTTAATACTACTGTAGGCCCAGCTACGTGTAGTACTACTGTAGGCCCAGCTACGTGTAGTACTACTGTAGGCCCAGCTACG